AGGAGTCTCTTAAGGAACTGAACTTGAAATTGAATCGAGTCTCTGCCATCCCCTAACCATGACGTCTTAAACAAGCTCCTTGACTTCATTTGCAAAATGGGAATTCATAACACCCAGCTCGCTGGGTTGTTTTAAAAATTTACATTTAAAAATAAAGTAGAAAGAAGCAGCAAATATGACTGTGAGAAAGTACCCGCCGTATCATCTGGCTTCAAGCAGGTTCTCAATAGTTATTCCAAAACTACATGTATAATATGTAAGTATATATCAATTCAATATAATTCTGTACGTTATAATTATGCATGTTTATATGTTTTATATAATTTCCATATGGAGAAGTACACGTGAAGTGTTGATATATATAAATGTATTTCTAATCTTTTATTTACGTGGATGGAGAGGCAGAGCGGGGAGCAGGCATGTCCAACAGTTCTCTTGGCAAAGGTCCGGCAAGGGGACAGTGGGAAGGGCTGGGGCCTTTTTTTTTCCCCAATCATCTTGGGAGCCTCCTCAGAGCTTTAAATATAATAACTACTTCTCCAGTGAGTGAGTGGATGAATGGCTAAATGAAGGAGTATTGAGCATACTATCCAAAAGGTTTGATTCTGCTGTCATCAAAAGTTCAGAAGTAGGGTCGAGGGTATAGGGTGTAGATATAGCTCAAGTGGTAGAGCACACGCTCAGCATGCATGAGGTCCGGGGTTCAACCCCCAGTCCCTCCTCTAAAGAAATAAACATGATTACCTACCCCCTTACTTAAATAATATAATAATAAATTAACTATTTTAAAAGTTCAGGAGCAGAGTTGGCATCTGGGAAGCAGGGTAATGTTCTTGGCCGTGCCATGCAATTGCCTGGACTCGTTCATTTGTGTGGCCAAATTGAAGGCGCAGCGGTCTTAGTAATCACTGTGCGGCTAGATCCTGTCCTTGGATTCCGGACGCTGTGCTGGGGCGTGGATTCCGTGTGTTGTTCATGGTCCACTGGCATCTTTTTCATGCAAACCAACGCACTGTTCTTTGACTCCTTAAGCCAACAGTCAGTGACATCTCTTGTGTGCTAGCTACTGTGCAACCAGTGACTCCTTGGATGTAAAAGATGCTCGAATATGTATAAATTAGGATCCTATTGTAATTCGAGGAGGAATCTAATATTTAGTAGCTTCAGATTCCCTTATCACTTGAAATTTGAAATAATTTTAGACAACTGAATTCTGTTTATCAAGGGAGGGCCACTGGGTTAGATACAATTTTTAGGTTTTCTCTTATTTCTTCCTACACACCAGTCACCCGAGAGGATCCCAGTAGGAGAAGAGAGATGATGAATAACCCTTGCTTGTCAATCAAAAATAGTTTGTGAAAAAAAGGTGGGGGAGAAATAAGAGTTTGAAATGCTAATGAAAAATGCCTTCAGCTGTTATCAGTGCTTGGTCCACGCAGGGGAAATTCCCCTCCCCTATTTAATGATTCTCCGTGGTCGTCATCCTGCCATCGACATGACCTCAAGGGACTCAGGGGTCTTCTCTGGGGAAGGGTCGCCTCTCTGGGCATGTGTTACCGTAGGAGGATCCTGCTGCTTTCTGTGGAACAAAGTCCGCTAGGCCAGTTACTCCTGTCCGGGCGCCTGCGCGCTGGCTCCTGCCTCTGCCTGGAGCATTCTTCCTCCAGGTGTGCCCACAACTATTCCTTCATATCCTGCTAGTGAGAACCTCCTCTGCCCTCCCCTTCAGTGAGACTCTCCCTGACCACCCTCCTGAAAGTCCAGGACCTCCCACCTCTTCCCCCACCTTGCCTGTCTTATTTTTTTCCTTAACGTTCATTCCTTTCTAACACATGCAACTTACTCCTTTATCTTCTGTGTGATCTGCCTGCCTCGCTGGAATGCAAGCTCCAGAATGGCCAGGATTTTTGTATGTTTTGTTCATCCCTGGGTCCCCAACACCTAGAAGCATTCCTGTCGAAAAAATGTTTGCAGAATAATTGAATGAGGAGTGACAGGTTCCTCTGCTTTCTCTCCTCTAAAGCCTGATTTCTCTAAATGCCCAAATAGGGTTCAGGAATGTTCTGTGAGAGAGAAAGTCACCTGTTCTCCATGGTGAGAAGTCGTGAAAGGGTAAGCCAGCAAAGACATTCTGCAGGTACCAAGTACGCCTTGGCCACATTGCCACATCATCAAAAGAGAGTTCTTGGAGGTTGGCAGAGGCGCGTCTCCATCCTCACGTAAAGGCAGGCATGCTGGCTGGTCCAGTCCACGCAGAAGACAGGAAGGTGGAGGGAAGGGTCGCTGGCCTTCCCGAGGGGCCTCACTGGGCTCTGAGCAAGTTAGAAAGGCTCAGGTTGGAGAGAGAGAGGACTGGCTGGACATGTGCGTGGGGCAGGTGCTCTGAGCCCTAGGCAGCAGCTTCTGGAGGCTTTAATTGTACCACCTTGGAAGGCAGGCGGTGCACTGGTGAAATCAGGTGTATGGTGTGAGGCTGGGCTCTGTGCTGCCTGCACACGACCGTGAAAGAGGACCAGTTTCAGTGTCAGTGAGCTCAACACCTCGTTTGGCATCTGACGAGCACATGGCCACTTTGTTGTTAAAACAGAGGCACCCTGAAGAATTAATGCCTGGACGCAGTTCCTCGTAGCAAAGTTGGAAACCTGTGAATTGGGTGGATGTTACTTATCCATGATTCCAAACAAGAGAGATTTTAAAAGCATTTGGGGCTTATTCTTCAACAGAAGAGGAGAAAACTAAGAGAATTAGCAATGTTTTATTACGCAGATAACTCGACTTCTCTCTGACAGCATCCAGCTCAGACACAGGGAAGTCTTTTTTGCCAACAATGATCTGCTCTGTTCTCCTCTCCCAAACACTCTGAATTTTAAATCCTGGACTTAAGCTGATCTCATCTTGTTTCTATCCCTTTTTTAAACGTCAACCTCCCCCCCACAAAATGTATTTGTTATTTTGAAAGACGATGAGATGCGAGGACTTGTGGGACCTGGGATTGGAGGTGGTCTCAGAGCGCCCTGGTCCCCAGGTGTTGGCGGACAATCTCAGCTCACTTGGGGCGTGGAGTGACGGATACCACTCTTTCACTGGGCTTCCCTCAACTACCGTTAACCTTGCTGTAAACCCTTCCTGAGGCTTACAATTCATCCTCGCGTCTTTCCTAACTAACTGTTAACATTTTCTAGAAGTCAGTTCCCTTCCGGAACAAATGAGTAAGAGTTCATGAGAACACCTGGTTGCATGTCACTGGGCGAGAACGATGCTGAGTCTCCTGACTCAGGCCCTGGGAGAAGCTGACACAGAAGTTTCAGTCTGTGCCTTTGCAAAGAGAATTACTGCTCTCCAGGTTCCCTCTGTGATGTACTGTTGTCTTACAACACAAAACCCTTCCTAAATGGACAGAATTATAGTTTTTCTTGTGGCTCATGATTCGAAGCTCTTCAGCATCACTTTGATATCAGGAATAATCAATCTGCCTGCTGAGGACAGTTATAAAGATCTCAAAAGGAACCTCATAACGGCATTACAGATACATCTTGGTTTATTCCCTTTGATTCCAAGAGCAAGACTTGCATGTACGAGTTTCTTTGTAGATGAGAATTATACTTCAGAGTTAATAACCTGAGATTGATAGAAAACACTTGGGGAGATGGCGCAGTGTTACCAGTTTGGCCCTGGAAATCATCATGATCTTGAAATATTGCCAAACTCAATCGTTCAGTGCTAGCTGGTCTGCCATTTTCAGGGAAACACAGCAACACGCATTGGTTTGGCCAGTTGGTTGGGGATCCAGTTATAATGTCATCCTGTAAACGTCTGCAGGGAAGAGGGTGCTAGGGCTTGCGGGTCAGCAGGCAGGCCTTCCTTCCTCTCTAAGTCATAAACCTTCTGGGTTTCCGATCCGCTTGTCCGTCATGGTAATTGCTGCCTAAGACACGGGAAAGCACATTTGTAATAGAGAGTCAGACACTCTGTGTATGTTAGGGAACCCTAGCCGTAGGAAAACCCCCAATTTTCAGTGGCTTATCCTAATAGATGGAGATATTTCCCTTCCGTGTGACAGCATGGGGCTCTGTGTTGTGCCACTGGTGACTCAGGACCAGGTGCTGGGTCCTCCTCCTAGGACTCGAGCCCAGATGGCAGCAGAGGATAGAAAGGACGAGAGAAAGGAGCAGTCACTTAACTACCTTCAACCCGAAGTGACCCTTATCCCTTCGTCTCTGCTAATTCCATCACCAAGAATGATCACACAGCCCACCGAGGTGCAAGAGGCTGGTACAGCCCCTCTGGGCCATGGAGACAGGAGCGTGAACTTTGCAGGGAAGTTGGCCCACTCTGCCACATCTCTTTGCAGCCCTGGTTTTTCGAGGCGGGAGCAGGACCTGCCTTCTGACCGCCTCTGTGCCCGTAGAGCTGGGCTTGGGGAAGACAGTGATTTGCCCTTCACGGGCCCGAATAGCAGCGTCGGCCAGCCCCGACCGCTGGCGAGGAGCGTGTCTATGAAGCCCTGGAATTGATAAGCTCGGTCATTTGTACTTTTTTCTTCTCTGTACTTTCCAATACGACATCAGGGTGTGTTCACATTGCAAGCTACAGACCCTAAGAATTCACATTCCACTGTATCATTTCACACAAAACTATGAATGATGTCTGTAATGAGACTGAACTTGCTGATTAGAAAACTATCCAAAAGTCATTTCTTGTTTTTTTAATTTATTAGTTTTCATCTGTTCTCTTTATTTTACTGTGTATGTATGTTTGTATTGAAGTACAGTCAGTTTACGATGTTGTGTCGGTTTCTGGCGTACAGCACAACGCTTCATTTCTGTTTTGATCGAGCACTTCTGTGTCAACGGCGTGGGAACCGTGTAGGGACGGACCTCAGAGTGTAGCCCAAGTGCCTCACTTTCCACCATTCGAGCTTTGTTCACTGAGACGAGCAGGGGCCCCCCGGGCGGGGGCTGCACGGGGCGGGCGCCTGACTGTCCGGGTCTCGCCCGCAGGTACCCGTTCCCCGTGCTGTTCAGCAGCTGCAGCAGGAGGGACCTGGAGGCCAGCCTGGAGAAGGGCGTGGGCATGTGCCTCTTTAACCTGCCGGAAGTGAAGCAGGCTTTCGGGGGCCGGAAGTGCGGGAACGGATACGTGGAAGAAGGAGAGGAGTGTGACTGCGGGGAGCCGGAGGTAAGAGAGACGTTTCCGGAACGTTCACCTTGTGTGCGCGGCTGGGCCGAGAGGCGAGAACGGGAAGGGACTGCGCAGCAGGACACAAGTGCTAGAAATTCAGGCTGGAAAGGCCCTACGTGGCCGCCTAAGCCGGGGTGGCCTTCTGGAATCTTAAGCATTGCATAGAATAAGTTGTATCACTGGTCAGAGAGAGAATCTTCTCTGTCGAAGGACGGGGTAGTTCCGGCAAGATGAGGACAAAAACAGTGAAGAAGCGCTTAGCTCTGAGTTTGGCAGAGAAGAAAGCCTGGAATGGCAGCTTCAGATGCTCATAAGCACCATGTCTTTCCCTCTGTGAAGTGTGCGACCAGAGGGGAATTTGAACGAGCAGCAATCGGCTTTAACCAAGCGCCTCTTCCCAAGCTGAAATTCCGCTCTCGCTGCCCCGGCCTCCTCTGTATGCAGGACCCACACTCCTGCCTCTCTGCCTGTTAGCTTTCAGAAGCAATGAGAGAATGCAGGGAATATTTTTATCCAACAAAGGGCTTATTTAACCCTGGTTTTCAGCCAATGTCAGGAAATTTTCTTGTTTCTGTAGGGACCAAGATAAAGTTAATCAGCATAAAAATTATAACAGTCATTTTTTAATCTCTGAGTAATCTTGGGGAGGAAAGAGAAGAGGAGGAGGATCCAGAGAGATCGCCCAGTAAAACAAGCCCCCCCACCCCAGGGTTTGGAGGAGGTTGTGCTTAGAATAAATCAAAGCAAGTCACCCATACAGCAGGCTGTCTACATGTGGGGCTCCGGCCCTGAGAGCTTATGCAAGCTGCGGGGGTAGACAAGCTAAAGGAAGGCTCAGCTGAATTCACAAATGGGCTTCCTGAGCGCTTAGGAAGAGCGTGTCTAGGAGGGCTGCTCTGAAAGGGGGATTCGAGGATGCGAGGGACGTCCCTGGAATTCCTGTGTGCATCAGACAAATAGCTGGTTACAGAATCTTCATCACATCCCAGCCTCCAAGCCGTTGAGCTTTCCCCCATCAGCAGAAATGATCTGAGTCTCAGTCTGACCGTTTCTGTAAGAAAGTTGGGACTGTAAGTTCTAGGGGTTGAGGACTGAAGAGGTGGTTGGATCAAATGTTTCTGTGCCCCTGCCAAAATCTGGATCCATTGGTGGTGACAGCACTGTCCAGAGCGATGCTTAATTTAGCTCACAAAGCATGGAGAATGGTTACTGTGCAAAAACAAGTCCTAATTATGGTGCTCCAGAAACCTTTTAAGATTAGTGGAGGAAAACTTGAAACTGTCACAGGATGGGTGACGCAAAGGGGAAATTGCCTCGGCTTTTTCTAATTACTCAAAGAAAACAAAATTAGTTTAAATTACCTATATTTCTCAGGAATGGTCATTTGACTTAAAGTGGTTTATCTATTATTTAAACTCCTTGTAATTGTTTATTAATCTAAATAAATTTGACAGCTCTTCACGGAGCC